TCAAGCACTGACTGTATGGTGCTAAGTACACACACTTCACACAGATCGAACACGTTTTTTTGTTGGACAAAAGTAAAACATAGCAATTTTCTTCCATATGACTAATGCCTTATAAAAACATCACTACATATATATTGTAACCTAGTATGTATTAGTCGTGGCAAGGCCGAAATAAATAACGTTTGTCTTGGAAAAAGGTAACTAAAATAAAAACAAATGGAATGTAAAGTTGAACCTTTTGCAGAGTCGTCATTTGTGCAACTGAAAACATTTCTTCAAAAGGGCATTCGTATTCATAAACAAAAATCTCTCTCTTTTTTCCTGAGGCTTACATCACCAGAGCGCTGGCTGCAGAGGCAACGCCAGTTGAGTTAGTTTCTGAGTAGGCAGCTATTTGTATCTCGTAGATGTATAAAAACGTGATCCAAATTTCTGCAGAGATCGATCTGTCGCTTGTGAAGGGTTCGATGCAAAAGCCGACTGCTAGGAACTATCTATGCAAAGCTCACTTCTTAGGCAAAGAATAGCCCACCTTAACTTCGCTGGTGACATAACGCTGTCACAAAAACGGCGGAAATCTATTCATGTAGATCGTTTCGATTGCACCCTAAAATCTATCATCAATTGAACTGCTGAGTTTTCAAAAAGAGGAAAAGCGAACTTGGTCTTTCCTGTGACATTATAACCATTGCAATGTATTCAAATGTAAATTCAACAGATCACGACACATCGAATACCGTTCATATACTCATAAGAAAACTATCTTTATACTTGTTATTTAATCTAAAGATTATTTGAAATGGAATCTATGTCTCAAAGCGGTATTGAAATGAATGTGTTCGCTTAATACTACTGCTACTGGATTTTATCATGCACATATATTTAGCGTAAGTAGCTTGATTTTACAGGGCAAGCTTTCTTTCGCAACGTAGGATTAATTAATGAATCAATTTTTGAAAAATGGTCTCCCGGGAAAAATTTATTCGCGAGTTACTACGCGTATGATTTATTGCGAAGTTATTACAGACGGCTGACATGGCACTAAGCGGAGAAATTATCTTCGTTCAAAACGTTTTTTCAACGTCCTTAAAAAACGTACGACGAAGTAAATCCTCAGAGTCTTCTCTGCTTTTTGGCTTGTGCAGATCCCAAGTAGGGCAAATGGCCCTAGCGTCAAAGTTAAAAGCGACAAGCTTGTGAATGCCGCTACCGGAAAAATGGTCCGTCGTTAGGGGCGTCTTTGCAAGGCGAAGTGAAAGACAGGCAACAAGCAAACGTCAGTTATCTATGCGGGTCGCCGAAGATAAACTCCATTGGCAGCAGTAATGTACGGCGAAGCAGATGATCTCGAATCGTTTGTTGTAGCTGACTTATCCCACGATATAATCATTCTTGCAACGAAAATGCGTAATTTTTTTTAGCGAAAAATTACCAAATTCAGGTGAATCGGACGATTACGCTGTTGCACCCCTTCATAGTGAATATGGACGTATGTCATAGCTGGAATATGTACCCTACAACCCCGATTCGGTAACTTGTTTTGTTTTGGTCAGAATAAAGTCAAAGATGAAGCAACTGCATAGCAGAGATACTGAATGGAATAACGAAGTAATAAAGCAGTGGTTCACTCGTTTAGAGTATGCAATAAATGAAATATTTTCATCATTTAAGTTCGTGCTTGAACGATTAAGTCTGCGATCCTGCTTATAAATAGCCAATTTACCTCAAGTTAGCGAGTTTATCTTTGAACCGAGTCCTTGGGCTCGGTTAGTGTGTGCTGGATGTTGCTATAGCTATAGCAAGTACATGCACTTGAACCTTCACACTGTTGCTTTGTTTCTCATGCTAAACCTGATCTAGTTAACAGAAATCTACTTCAGTGTTAAGGTCGATACCAATCTATGCCATAGGTTTCGTGCCAATCCTCAGCAAGTTGTTGAAGCTATTGTTGAAATGTGATTTCTGTTAAAGTGTTGAAAGAGATCAAGCTAACAACAGGTCTTTTATTTGCCGTCACCGATATCAATGTTGGAGAGTGCGCTCGATGTGTGTTGACCTTATCGATTAATTATTTCGAAATATTTATGCATTTCTACTTTTGTTTCCAAGTGAGTCAAAGGTGATTTTTCCAAGATATAACGCAACATCACAAACGTCTTTTGCGATGACTGTTATGACACGAAGAGTCACTGCTGAGCGAGTGACCAGAAAAAAAAATCGAAGATATATTGCAGTACCATGTGAGAAATTTTCGTTTACTAAAATGCGTTGAAATATAATAAAAATTAACATGGCGTAATTACTTAATCCTCTGAACAATTTTGTTACGAAAAAAATTCAACAGCTGAGGTAAGTTGACTTCTGCACCAATTCGAAAGTTTGAGACACATACATTTTATACATTTATGATCTGAAACCTAATGCTTTAAGCATTCTTTCTTTTTGCTAGAAAATCTAATTCATTGTATTTGTCTCCAAAATCGTGGTGATGCGCTGTCGAGGTCTGTAATAGTGTACAAGGTACATATATATATAAATATGATATAAAGTGTACCAACATTATCGCTGTACGGAAGAGATGAACTTGCCTCGGTGACTGTTAGATCAATTATTTTCATGGCTCAGAAAATAACAAACGTCACGATGCTGTTTTTGGCTTGTGTAATATTTTACTATCCTGTTCTCTCAGTGATCGAGTATATCTCAGGACTACTGCCAGGACACTTAGTGCCTCTAACAGATCATTTTTATAGCTAAAACAGCCCAGGCATTTTATATAAAAGTAATCTCTTTTAAAGCGCAATAAATAAAATACAAGCCTCTGATACAAAAAGGATTCTACATACGACGAAAAGCAAAACATCTATCTAGAGGAAGCTACCGTGCGGCATCATTTAAAAAGAGAAGTTGTTTTTTTAGTAAAGAATTGTAGGACAGATTTTGGGATTAGAAACGCAACGAATAACTTCTAAAGGTTATTCTTGAGTTAGTGTTAACAAAAAAAAACAATAATGCTAATGATACAAATGTTATTATACTATTAGATTGCACCAAAGCTAAAGTTTCACTTTTGATTATTCAGCCAGAAGTAGTTCAGTAGAAAATTACGGATAGATTAGCGTATGTCATTTTCCCTTTTGCGGCGACACTTATTGGAGTACCTAATCAAAGATGTAGCAAAATTACTGAATAGAAGTTTTTGCAATACACTTACTTCTGGACCAACCCAACAACAGCATTCCTGCTACAAGACTGTGGCCCACACAGTCAAGAATCGAATTAATGCCTATAAATGTAATTAAGATATTGGTTTAAATAGTATTTAAATTCTATTTTTCATTTTAATATTACAATATTTAGAATGTTTAATCTTATCTTTGTTTAATTAAAGAGGCGCAATAATTAAGCAGACAGAAAAGTTATCGTTCAGCTTTTAAGAAGTCCTGGTGGCGACACTCTAACAGCCACCTCCAGAAATTAGATGTTTTACATACTATAAAATATTCTCTATAGTTGGCTCTCAGCCCCCTTCGTCTTCGTGATAAGCCTTAACACCGCTAGTGTAGTACTGCCTCAAAGAGTGACCAATAGAGGGGGCCTCTAAATGTCGTATTGGGTTTTACAAGGTGTAATGCATGAGACCCATCCTAGCAGCACAGATACCCATATAGCATGAGTAAAAACCTATTTGCTCAACCACGGCTATTACGTGACAGCGGATCCTACAGCATGTGTACCACGTAGTAGTTCTCTGAGTTGTTACACATAAAACTTAATTTTCGTAAGCACAAGTTTTCCATCATAGTCAGGACAAACCTACTCATAAATAATATTGAGCTATTGCTAATCCTACTGTATGTAAGATTGTCTCTAACGATTGTCTTCCAAATGCAGATCTGTGAGTGTTCGATAGTGGGCGCAAATCTACTTTGTTTCAAACTAGAAATTAGAAACATTGGCCAAAACGTTTTAAGAAATACTTAAGAAGCAATTTCGGGTGTGAAACTCAGAAAATTTAGTGCTCGAATAAGTCCTTATCATCTCGCTATAATTTTAGCAAAAAAAAATCGCTGCAGGAGGCCAAATCAAAATTTAGGTGTGAATGGCCAAACAACCTGACAAATGATAAATAGACTCATAGTGTGAACGCATACGGGAATGCGATAAAGACTGGTCCCTCAAGTACCTGTGACTAGTTCCGTCATTTTAACTGGTTTTCGATAAGGAGGACTGTCATATAGCAGTGACCTTGCTTGATACTCTGAGCTATAGATAACACTACGCACATCTTTTTCCATGTTTACTGATTTCTGGATATGTTTATACCATAACGTTTACAGGACGAACCAGCTTTTCTGCAAGTAGCTCCGAATGTTGGTAAAGAAGGAGTCTTTCCATTATAATACACTTCAGGTTTACAAAACGTTCTTTGCTAGGTGTCACTAATTAGCGGCTCCACGTTCAAACATTTAGAAACACTCGAGGAGGACAGACACTTTCATAACTACAAACTGGAGATATTACGACATTTCTATTTATTTATAACAACCTTATTTTCGTGACAGTTATTCTGGTTCTTCCTTTAGTCCTATCCGTCTATCAAAAATATTAAATTATCAAAAGAAATGGAAAAGGTAAGCAAATAATGTAAGGCATGCGATAGGCTGGCATTTCCCAAGTACTATATATGATCAGTTTATCATAATCAGATTTTCAAATCGAAATTTTTTTCATTTACAAAAAGCAAGACTTAGTTCTGCTAAAATTCATTGATCTTTTATCATAAAAACGTGTCTCGCGTACTAAAAAAAAGCTATAATTTTTTTAGTACGCGAGACACGTTTGACACGGGCCAAGTAAGCTATGCTCTTAGCTAAGACAGAAGCACAGCATCTACGCTCAATATTCAGTTATCGCTATAAACCGCATGCAGAAAATGCTGTGCTTATTTTGTGCACGTTCCCTTTCAAATCTGAGTGATGAACTTTTACAAAAAGAAATTAACATCTCCATATTTTTATTTAAACGAGCTACATTGCTTTCTGTATGAGCTGTAAGTTGACTGTCGAATGTCGGTTGCTTTGAAGAAGAGCGTACATCGTTATTTTTTAAATACTCATTCAAAAATAGCTTAGCTTAAAATATGTATTCAGGTAGAGTTTTTTTTATTATGAATCATCTATAGCCTTTGTAATAGAAACATGTTTTATACTTAGTCCGTACTTGAGTATCACCCACCGAGATAGATGCACGACCACAGATTCATGAAATCAATGACTGCATGCATAACAGTTAGAAGTATGGAAGTAAAACTGACCACACAAAGGATATACGACATTGACCCGCGCAAAGAACAAGAAAACTACCATACATATAAAACCCGACTTCGAAACAAAACCGTTGAGAAGCAAAAGATTGAAATTTCACCATTGACGCCACGGCGCCGATAAAGATGGTATGGAATATGCAATGCCCGTAAGCATTTTTCACTCAAGAAATTCATGTACGGATGAATTGATTTCCAGTATACATACAGGTAACAAAGATGTCATATTTTTCGTAGAACTAATAAGTGAGTTAATATTTTTGGGCAGTCGTTAATAGAACAACCTTGAGAGCTTGCAAATACAAAGACAATGATATCAGTATGCATCGTCATACATGTGGTCTTGCTCATAACGTGATACTGATGATAAAAACGTACTTATGGAAGGATTCCAGTTAAGATTCTAATTTATGGTTCAACACGAAATGACATTAAGAATTCGCTATTGGGTGCGAAATAGCTTCGGAAGACAGCCGAATTCTGTTTACTAATCAGTCGTCAAAACGAAGAGCTTAATGCAACATCCATGTCTCTGCAGCAATACCGACATAGTAGCAGGTATCAACCTACTTCTTGCTAGATTTCATGATACCTAATCTAGTATCAAGTCGCTTACGGGTATAGTATATTGAATTTAGTACGGGATATGAATAGTATGCAGTAACTAGTTATCTGAATTACTTGTGCCGTCGTTACCAGAGATCTCTCCTGAAACCACACAAGGCTCCAGCTACAAAGCCACAGGCGATTGCCTAATTGACCCACCGGCTAGTCCTGTTAACAAAGACCAAGTGATGATATTATCACGTTAGCATCAACGACAAATATATATATTCTAGTTAAAAGAACATTTAAATAACATGGAGAACGTGTTTCCCCTAATGTTAGAGTAATCTGTGGTCGATGTAGTCTTTCGGTGCTAGTTTTATGAACTGCCAGGTTGAGACAAGAAATGCAACTGAAAATCGACCCTGAAAATAAATTGCAGTAGATGCTTATGATAGATACGGTTGTTCCCAGCAGCCTTTTTCTTTCAGTGTTCTCTCTGCCTCTTAACTGCTGGTTTGTTTTTATATACCGGTCAAAAATATTTACTCTCCTCCACACTTCTGGTATACTTTCACTGTGAACGGAAGTTTATATCACAGTTAGACTCCAATGATGTATATTGCTTGTGAAAAAGTGCATTTTCGACATTTATTCTATTTTGTCTTTTACCAAATTAAGGAAAACTTGCTGAAGCAGTTTGGCTTATTTGTATCATGCATTCGACTAGGTGGATCTCACTTCGCTCAGCCACCCGGGGCCGGTAAGGATTTCGGATCAGAAATAAATTGTTAGGTGTATGAGGAGTTAACCTACACACTCGACGTATAAGAAATTAGGAGCCTGGCTAAGCTACATACACACCGATATGAAGCAAAAGGAACGGGAGGTATGGTCAAGTTCAAAGGAAGACCAAATCCTCATCTCAAAAGACCATCATTTAGCAGATTTAGAAAAGCCTTAGACACTGGAAAATACCAGATATGAACAAGATATTAACGAGGATCTATTGAGTAAGGGCATCCAGCAGAAATGACGCCATAGGCAACGAAAAGTTATTGTTCCTTACGACATATATACATGATACACATGACACAGGTCATTAAGATCGTCCTGGCAAAGCTTGAGTGGAAGATTTTATACGTCCAGCATGTTCGCCAAATCTTGCACTGACGAATTACAGGTTGTTCAGGTCACTAGCAAAATAAATCCATCTCAGAAGCTATACACCAGACTTGAAAGTTCTGGTGAACAGGAATAAATAAATTAGCTAAAATATGGGAGCAGGTAACGGCGAACACATTAGAAATTAATCTGTCGTTAGTACTCGAGCGAAATGCCGCACTTTTTTATTAAGTAAAAAACTGCGCGTTAGTGATGTTTCAACCAATATAACGGTTAAGTAATCACCGTTGTGCGCGCATTTATACCAACCTGTGTAGGTTGTTGCGCTATGTCAGAAAGATCTTGCCAGCCTGCAGTCCCAGGAATGTTAACAACATCGAGGTCAAACAGCCCAAGATGCCTTCGGGATCGTGCTTCATGGTTCCACCGTAGATCTCCTGAAAAACGTCGAGTTAATGTTCGAGAAATTTTTTAAGTGAAAGAAACAACATTTGTTGACAAAACAAAATTAGTTGCAGACGAATTGAAGAGCTCGTCTTTCGGATTCGAAGTATGCACTGAAGGATTATTTGGAAGCTATGCTTACTTTGCACGTTTCTACCAAATATTCGCTTTGATTAACCGAAAGTGTAGACACGATGCATATGGGCAGTGCCAAGGATAAGCCCTTCGATACAGCCAGCAGCACCATCCGTGCACTTAAAATGTGCACCACCCTAAAAACCAGAACGTCTTCCATTATTATTATAGAATTATTTTAAAAAAGTGTGCAGGTAACTACGCTTTGTATATTTACATACAAAAATAGTGCTATGAATTAGTGAGTGAATCATATGATAGATTATATAGTAGCGCGTAAAGCAGTGCTTACCTTATGTAAACCGGCGGGCCCGAGATAACCTTTTGGCCATCCTGGCACAGGTAAGGCGAATGTTGTTGCTACGTGAATGATGGCCAGACAGTAAATAAAGAGCCCTTCCTGCCAGTAGGAGATTATGCCACGTAGTTCGAAGGCCAAATCACGCCATTCCTAGAATACATATTTCAAAATCATTACCTTAAAAGGTAATTACAACGCGTTGCCTCTATCTCCAGCAAATCGTATTGTAGTTTGTTTCAGGATCTAAACATAAACAAGGTACTTCGAAATAACCACCAGTATAAAACCATCAGAGTCTATTTCATTTGTTAGAGGAATGCGTAATTTTGTATATTCTATGCCTATTTCGAATAAGTTGGGACTTTCAGACATTCCTATCTAATGAGTTGCTGTCAACCTACTGTGCAGTTTTCCTACCGAGGTCACATCGGTTGGAGTCGCCCAGAAAAGGTGCAGCCCCGCTATAATTGAGCATTACAAGCCCGTAAAAACGTTGGCATTTTTGATTGCGTTATTCTTCAGAAGCGATGTTCGGCGACATGCAGTTTCAAATCGGTTACAGGCAAATGTCCCACCTGCAAGACTTGGTGTCCTATTTTCTTATATAAAATTTATCAGCGTTTTATTCCAGTAATTTAATAGTGTTTGTTTTCCTTTATTTGATGAATATTCTGAAGAGATGATAGATAAAATGATTATCCTAGCTTTGCAGAACTCCAGATATACGGAGCTTTTTATATCATTTTTCCCGTTAGTATCAGACCTTCAGGGAAAAGTCTTAGATGTTAATTCGTAAGATGTCTTGATGCCTACACATGGCCATAGGTGTTTTTAACATCTCACTTTCCCGAATCAGGCCTTTAGTTGAGGATGACTGATCCAGAAGCTTCTTTAATAAGCGTAAATATACAGTAATATATCCCATAACTATTAATAATCTGTCAAAATGATGAATAGATTGTTTAATATTACACTTTAAATGATATGCAAATAGTTACGATTACGCGACTTTGTAAGCTGTCATATTCTATTCATATACCTCCGTTGACCATATAAATATGAATTCGTATTGTTTTGTGTCAAAGGTATGTTTCTAACATCGATTACCTAACTCAGCTGCGGCGGATTAACTATAGCTTTTGTCATCCAAAAATCCAGTAAAAAAACTTATTCTGATTGGATTTCCGCTAGAGTCACATCTAGAAAACTTGCTCAAACAAAACAAGTGGAAGCGTCTATCTGCATTTTATAAAAAAAAAAAAAAAAGAGAAAAAAAAAGTAGGCTGCATCATAGCGCTTTAACACGCACAAGAATACTAAAGTTTTACGTTGTGTTGAGATGACATACGTTTTATGCCATATAAAGTATCCCACGTGCTGATTTGACTCTTTATCTTTAAACTGGCATTTCCAATAGCACCAGGATAATGGAATTAGTGTGTTAAATGTCTAACTTTACACACATTTGAAAAACCGTGTTTGTCATAATAATACTTTTTATTATTTATTATTATATATATATTATAATAAAGCCTTTATTCACTTTATACTGAAAATAAAATAGGGTTTTATCATTTATTTGTGTAGAAAGTTTTGAACAAAACTTACAGTCGCAATACTGTTGAATTTCTTTGACAAAGAAAGTTTCAACGTTATGAGTCACAGGTTTAATTCTACATAGAATTAGCAAAGTTTGATTTTAAAGCAATTTAGCTATACTAATCTGCCAACCTGGTGCTATTGAATGTTTTATGTCTGGTATTGCCGTTACGATTAGGTATTGCTTCGGCCTGTAGGCCACTAATATAAAACGAAGCAGCTTAATACTCTAAAATACCTCAGCTGTCTATGGAAAAAATATCAGCAAATAGGGAAAAAATCGGCCGTATGCCTTGTTACTTGAGTTGTGTATAAGAAGTCTTACCAGTATCACGATGCTAAGCATACTATAAACTGCTAGATTTTTGTAAGCTTATGCATGGTCGACAGAACTTTAATGCCTGGTAATGCATTGTTTATCAAGCTATTTATTTATTTAATTTTCACTGATTATGGGAAATCAGTATTTTGACTGACCCTAGTAGATACTGGTGGCAATAGCATAAATACAAAAACTAAAATCAACACTTTCGAGTGGCAACCCACTGATTGAAATGGCGAGCCATACCCCCATGATCCAGATGAACCAGGGGAATACGAGGTCCGCTATTGACATATCATTCGATGGGACGTGTTTTTTTTCCTAATAATAGAATAGAAGAAACATAAAGAAAGAACATAAAACAAAGATTATAGTAACTATTTGAATCGTTCTTTTATTCTTCCAAATCAGGCTTCTGCGATATATATGTGGCACGTGGAATGAGATAATAAATATAGGCCAACTCCGATTGGACGCCGAATCCCGATACGATACGTTCTAATGTAAATATTAGGGAACAGAACAGGTTGAGTGTCCACCTTCGTAGCGCGTGGTTTGCAAAAATAATTTTAAAGGATTAGTCTTTAACATTGTCAGGTGCCGTAAAGATAAGAAAAGTGAAATGTCTTAACTGTGCAAAGACAAACCTTTTCCATAGTTCACAAACACCATTATGAAGATACACAAGCCTAGAGATGTGTCAAGCGACTAGATACGCCGTTGGGCTCGAACTGCTCTTGAGGGTAAAGGCTCCTGTAAGTAAAATACATGAACCACTTGCCTTTAATAAGATTGTTAAACGGCGGGGAGTCAGAAACCTTATATGGCGCAGGGATAAATTTACCTCGTGCTACCCTGGCGAACTCATTTTTTATTGTCAAAAACAAAAATTAGCTTAATAACTTGAAGTCAGTCTCGTAAATATTAAGACCGAGCTATTGAGGATCCGTGTATGCCCATTTCTAATGTGCCAAAATAAGCAATCTCTTAAAGTAAGTTACTCTTTTAATAACTAAACTTACTTAGATCTTGAGAGTGTGAAGCTTACTGTTGATGTGATTATATTTCGATGTGTGAACTAAAAAATGTCAGTGGTAAGTGTAATCTTAAAGAATAGAGATTAAACGAATAAAACGCGCTCGTTTCATTATTGTGAGAGTCTAATGCAATAAGTAAGTGAAAAAATTCGAATGAAAGTTTCGTAAATTTCAAAAAGCGTTTCGGCGCTACACAGGGTGGAATTTCTAAATCCGGATCTATTGTTTTCTATCTAAACAAAAACAGATATTTTGACGAACTTTCTTTGTACGTGCTAAGTGTCACTTCTGACGATCATGTTTATCCAATATCATCATCACTCAATGCAATCACATCTCCAACCTAGGACCTACGCCATTTATTCGTCCTTTTAAGATGTTGCTTCCGCAAAAAAACGTTTTAATAGTGGCCAAGCGTCAAGTGATATTGGCAAGTATAAGCTCGTTAAGGTGCCGCTTACGTATATCATATTCGAAAAATTCCAGCTGCCGTTTGGTAAAACGATCATACTACATGCATCTACCTGGCAACTGAGAGAATAGAAGTTCCACAGGAAAAAGATTATCATCGATGATAGCGCATATTTATTTAGTCTACTAATATTGTTTAGAAAACAAAAACAAATTTCGGTTTCAAAACTGCAAATTTCAACTACTAACTATATTGAAATGAATAGGCTTAGCTTTGCTTGAAAGGAACTCTGCGCTAACATAGTTGTAACTATATATATATATATACCGTTTGATTTATTACAACCCGGCCACGCTTATGCCGCTAAACTAATTTGATTGTTTCAATAATTGGGGATATGAGATGTTTTGAACCTAATGGGGTTGAACTTTGTTTACATATTGAATCCTCGTTGCGCTGCTGTCACTGCTTCGTATTTTTGACTCTAATGAAACGTTGACAAAATATATACATGTCGGTAAGGGTTCGAGTTGTTCTTAAGTTAAAATAGTGTGTTTAATATTGAGTAACTAGCTTAAGAACCGTTAGCAAAACATTCACGCTGACATAACGTGCGCTTATAGTTTATAACAAGCGGTCGCTCTATTGTTAAAATAAAGTTCAGCCTTACCTACGTCAAGCTCGTGCACAAAAATCTTAATTAAAACCTTAATCTTAATTAAAAAAAAAAAAAAAAAAAGAGTCACTCTGTCTGCACGGATTTATTTCGAGTATAGAAAAATGTGAAGTACAACTTGTATAAACCGTTTGCAATATGTATGTGTGTATTACAATGTAAAGTTTCATTAATATGATTCTCCACTAAGCTAACCGACTGCATACCTTATTCTCTACCAGAGCAAACTATAAAAATTATCATATTATAATAATTATATAATATGTCATAGTCATGTTAAACAAACTATTATATGTCAACCCTTTCAAATATACGCAAATAAATGCTGCAAATGAAACTCTTCATTTAACAGTACTATATAGGCTAAAAAAAAAGGGTGCTTTCTAATGTCCCCTGCTAGTATTGGTTAGTCGTAGTTTAAAAAGACATTCCATTTTACCGCATGTTCCATGGCCTCTCCCTTGCTCCAAATTTCCCGTGACCTACAATATCTTTGATTTACATATATATATATATATATATGCATGAAAGCGTTTACTAACCTGCCTTTATGGTGTCTGTCTTACACGCCTTGTTCTCAAATATTTGAATGAGATACCCAGCCTGAAAATGAGCAAAAATGCTAATTTGGTGATTGTAGTGATTTTTTAGTTACACCATTAGGATTAAAAGCATATGGAAAATAAAAGCAAACCCACTCACCTGCTTTCCCAATGAAGGTGCATCGCAGTCAAGGGATTCATTTGATAAATAGAAAGTCGATTAAGCCTAAAACAAATAATTTTCTAAGACGAAAATCAAACATAAATTTGCCAGTTCTATTTGGTTGATAATATCAGTGAACGTTTTTTTCACTCGTAGTTATTTGCTTGTTATCCCAATTGTTTTCGCTTCGCAAGTCAATACTATGTATGTACTACAGTAGCAGATGCATCTTCAGCTATAGAATTACTGAAACAACGTCTATTGTTCTTTATATCGTGTTTATACACCGTTGCCATTTTGCTGTAAATTCAACAACTTCATTTGCAACAAAGTGTTTCAGGTTCATAAAGGAGTAACTGTTAAATGATGTCATACGCACTAACTCCTGGCCATACAGTATTCTCCTCTAAAAAAAAAGTTGTCTCTTTCTCTTTTCCATTGCCACTGGTGGTACCATTTACGCATACACTTCAATTGGATGAAGATGACCTTTTCTCTGGTGTGCTGTAGATATTTTCGCCCATACCCGCAATCTGCCTTTTTGTAACAACTCTTTCTCCGTTCCTTTTTAATTTCATTTTTTCTCTTTAGGACTACCTTCATAAAGTAGACCCTCTTTCATAAGCTCTGTTTATTCACCTCGAGTCTAGGTATCGGGAAGCTTCTATGTGCATCTCATACTGTGTGTATGAGAAAATCATGCGAGTTATATTGTTTATCTAACGTGTGCCGCATGTCACCTAAGTCATTTTTTCGTATTGTGTAAATATTATCGAAAGCATATATGGCCTGCTAGAACCTGTGTCGAAACTTAAGCTATGTCGCCATAGTCACTGCTAAACTTTTTATGAAGGTCTGAAATTACGAGTTGAACCCTACGCTGTGTGAGTGTTCCATTCCACCCGCCATACCTACTGGTTTATTCACAGACCTCTTCCTTCTTAAGAATGGCGTTTGTCCGAAGCCACGTTCTCTCGTCAACCATTCTTTGCCTGTGGATCATTCGTGTGAAGCCTGTGATCGCTGCTATATAGTCTTATACGTTTGCACCACCTTTATCCTAAGTGATCATTGCACTTTCAGGAGTTCTATCCTGTACGCTTTCATTTGACCACAACCGGATTCTAAGCTAGCGCTGCAGACAAAATTACGAATTCCGCCGCGGCAGCCAACAACCTCCATCTCCTCTCTGTTGCCCCCGAACATTCGCCATTATTTTTGCCAAACCATGAATGACTTTTGCCGCTTTGGATGTCACATTCTCGATGTGGGCATTCAATGTAAGCTATATTGCACGGCAAGGGCGCTAATGTAGACAACACGCCGGCTGCTGTACTTACCGTAAAATATGGTTTTATACCTACGGTACCAGGTATTTTAGCCTTTAAAGATATTAGGAAACCTTTTTGCCCTTACAACGTTGAAAAAGTTTTGCCAGTTCAATGAGTTGAAAGCATTAAGCGCATCCAGAAAAATCACTACCCATAGCTCCCTTGACCACTGGTTTTAGCTGCGCTGTTTCTCACATTCTTTCAATACCCTGATGATTACTATTTCCGTGAACCCATTTTTCCAGAATCCACGTTCAGTGTCTTATACTGCTCCTTATTGATGATCATCGCTAAAGCTTTGTCGATAATGTCTAAGGACAGATTAGTTGACACGGTCTAGGTTCGGTAGGAGGTAGTCCTGGTTGTCTTGTGAGATCCAGGATTGCCTTGTTCCACCCTACAGGGTCATGATTTTATCCATCATCAACGTGAAAACTTCAGGTTTCTTTCCATGGAGAATTCCCACGGCGTCGGTTAAGGTTGCGACCTCACACAGCGACGAAGACCTGTGGCAACCTCTCGATTACCACCATAACCTTTTCTAAGGAGATAAAAAAGATCGTTCTCTTGTAGTGGGGCAAGTAAGACAAAATCTTTGTGACTAAAGAGCCGCTTCTTCTGTTGGACTTTGTCGTTTTGCCCATGATGATCTTATAAGGTTTTTCTCGACGTCGTTCGTTATTCCGCCCCACAATTTCTCTTATTCCCTTTCGACACTTCTCTAATAGCTGATTTGAGGCCCTTTATCTTGGCCCAGAAATTATATGTCAGCAAGACCTGCTCGTTTGTTTTGCTCTGGTTTATTGTCGCCGTGCTATGTTAGAGGCCATTCTAAACTCCACAATGCCTCCCGTCCACCAACATACGGGGTGGCGTCTATTAGGAGATATTTGTTGCCTGGATAAGATTGTTTCGCACTATCTAGGCAGAATTTTTGCTTCCATACTGCGACGTGATCTGTTTTTCAGCGTTGAATAGCTCTCTCTTCAGATTTGGGTTCTAAGCTTTTCTAAATTCAATTCGGTCATGCACTAGTCGGCGACTGCATGCATTTCGTATATTTCGTAACTCTTACCCATACCCATAAATTATGTGAGCATGGTTGGTGTAAGAATATTTTTTCAACACCTATCAGTATCTTATCCTGTCGGTGGCCTTACTGCTCTTAAATGTGAAATTTTTAAAACCAAGCTGCCCTCTTCATTTGAGCGTTTAACGTGAGTGCCTATTATTGAAAAAGAAAA